GTTGACGAACGTGTCCTTTTTCCAGGGTTCAGTTTTGAAAAACTAACAAAAATAAAATTTCCTCAACTTCAAGTTTATTGCATCAGTATAAATGCATATTTTTACATTGTACATATTTATCAAATAATGACAATTTGAAAAATCACAAAATTTATAATAATACGGCTAGAATCGTGTTTCTTCAGGTTCTTGCCAAAATAAATAAAAAATAATTTGCTGGAGGAATAAAAATAAAAACCGCGGTCTTTTTTTATCTTAAAACTCTCATGATAAATACTCAAAAGTGTTGTTTGTATTTTACTGCTCACTCTGCTGGCCTATTGGTTGTTCTAGTTACTTACGGAGGATAAATATCTTTCTTTTCCACAACTTCCAGTTTATTATACAAGCATACATTTATTCTAACATTGCTATTTACGTTACTGAATAAAGTTGTTCAAGTTGTCACCAATCGCTCGCAAAGCTCTTCCAATTTCTCTGTATTGTCTCTGTTCTGCATCACGGAGGCCAACATGAAGGTCAGTAGTTGAAGTGTTTTCATTTTGTGAGCTTCTATCATCTCTTGATTGCCTACTCAATCTTCTCTGTCTGGTTTGGGTTGTACTTGAAATGCTGTGTCGTTTGAAGACCTTGAACTCCATTTTTCTTTGTGCCTTCGAAAATGAAAAGCCAATTTGAGTTTTCAAGAAAATTGTCAATTAGAGAATTATTAGTTGATCCAATACCAAATTCTCTGAAGTTACATCATAAGAATTGCGTGGCAGAGAGTAAGGAGAATTACTAATGAGATCTTGAGTGAAAGGGTTAAGGAGTCTTAGATGAAGGTCTAGAATAACTCTGGATGGGGGTAGGCGCTTACTATTATCTGCTCGTTTGTTTCATGTTGAGTATGTAATCGTGTTAGTTTTGAATGTAGTGTTATCTTAAAATGGATGCTATCCAGCAAAACCTTTACAAAGGGCATCACCAGTCTCGCTTGTTAATGCCGAGCAGGCGCACTTAAAAAAAAACGCTCAGATGAAGGTGTACTAAAATCCCGCGTGTCTGTACTTTATTGCGTAGGCCATTAACCTTTTCACTCCCTCTTACTGTCTGCCATACAATTCCTAAATGGTTAGAGTTTGGTGCTGGATCAACTAATGAACCCTAATTGCTATTTCTCCTTATTCTCAGTAGAAAATGCCCTGCACATCCGAAGATTTTGGACACTAGAGGCTAATTTGGGATTTTAGACGCTAATGACCGATTTTGAATTTTGGACACAAGTGGCCCATACTCGATTTTGGACACTGGTGGCCGATTTCCCTTTACGGACACTAGTGACCGATTTTCGTTTTTAGATGCTAGTGGCCGATTTCCGATTTTGGACACTAGTGGCCGATTTCTGAGTTTATGCACTAAGAAAATTGTTTATCATTAACAAAAAAAATTAAAATTAATCGAAAGAAGCCTAGGTTTAATCAGCATTGGAGCCTAGAGGATGGATCGATAGAGGAACAGTGAGATTCTTGAGCTCGGCCTCAACAAAAGTTATCATTACTGTTACTATTATTATCATCATTATCATCATCATTATCATCATTATCATTATCATTATTATTATTTTTATTATTAATATTGCTGTTGTTGTTAAAATTATTATTTGTCACCATCTAATTTATTGGATGTCAATTAGTCTCCATATTCTTGAATCATTACACTTCTCTTGTGGAACTGGGTACTCAGATCAGAGATGTGGGATGCGGCAGTAGTAGTCATATACAATCTAAATTGCCGACTTTTTAATTTACAATTAATTACTCACAAACGTCTGTGGTCGCTAATGAGAAAATGTCCTGACATCATTGTATACAACTTGTGCAATGATGCGTGAAACAGCAATTAGTCGCGAACAAAGCTGTTGCTTGGTGACTTTGTCAATAAAATTGAAAACTAAGCCGCTTGATGACAAATTTTGCTAATACGTGACTCCTTTGAGAGGCTTCTTTAGATTTTTTTCAAAGAACATTCATTCTGTAACGGAACGAAGCTTAAAATCAGGGTGCAAGGATAACCCTCACGAACTCCTTCGAACACTTCAGAGGTATCTTATTTCACGTAAAGCGCGCGTGTGAACACGATTTGTTTTCCACCAAAGCATGTGTGCAACTGACTAGCCTCCTCACTCAAAGTAGTTCCACAAGCCTTAACTGGAAAATGGGTGCTATAGTTTCGCATCGTAAAGGCCAGAGAAGGATATCACGAGTAGAACAAAAAGCAGTGTAAGTTTTTTGTAAAGGTATTACCTTTGATTTGATGGGTAAACAATTCGAACGCATCGAGCTTATTATAATGTGTTTATTGCCATTCATACTTGCATATTTATCATGGGAAATGTCGTTCAAAAAATGGATTCTGATTGCTTTCAGTAACAATCCTTTCCTTCCCTTATCTCCATAGAGCGGTTAATGCATTCTCGACGCACTCAAAGCAAAATGAAAATTCAAAGCAGGAACTCGAAGGCATGTAATAAATTGATTGTTGAATTTCTCGTGTGTTATTTATTTACGATTGATGTATATTGGATAATAATGTACACAAAGCACATAAATAGTGCATAACTTTACCTTTGCACCCGAATATCCGTAAAAGAAGAAATTGTTTCTTGACCTGGTGGGTATCTTGAGCTGTGTTACTCAGAGCAATTGAACAATCATCAGTGTCTTGATTAACCAGGTTTTGTAATCGTATCATGGATTTTGCAGTAGTTATTAAAAAAAAAAAACTACTTGAAAAGTTTTTATTCTACACCCACTACCATGAAATTTGAACCATCCATTGCTAGAAAATCGAAGAAAAGTTTTTTTTTCTGAATTAGAGGCAAAGTTAAGTCTACATTACTTGATTAATCAAAGGATTGTAGGACAAAAATCATTTTCTTTTCGCCCACATTTTATTTTGTAAATTATCTGCTACTGTTGATATTTGATTTTATGGAAAATGTTAAAGGAAATCAACAAAATCAGTCTGTTTCAACTTTGTCAGCTCCTACCCAGCCACCTGCACCAAAGACCAGTTCTGCAACATCCAGAGGCAGTCCAAACATCGCGGTGGCATCTTGGGGTGAAGGGATTGTGGGAACATCCTCTCATTCCTTAAATGATAAAGGTGTGATTACATCCAGGGGTGTACAGAATGAGGTCAAGTCTAGTAAGGAGATGTACCCATCTCTAAAACCTAAAACACCAGACTCAAACAAAAACACAGAGCTATACACAGGCTTTGCCACAGTCACACCAATACCACCCCAAACAGATAAGGACCTGGCAGCCATAACTATACAAAGGTAGTGACATTTTTTAAATATTTATTAGTTAGAAACTGCTTGACAGGGAGTAAAAGCATGGCTGTGCTCTAAGAAAAATTAAAGGGAGCCTAGTGCTCTGAAACCGTGAAATCCAGGGTTCCCAGCATATGCTTTTCATGAAAAAACTAAGATTCTTGAGTCGCCCAAGAGCAAAAGTAAGCCGCCAGGGGCCACCGGGCGCTGCTAGACCACAGCCCTGAAGTGGTTAGTATTTTAGGCCATAAACTTGTTTCACAGTCTCCTTGTGTCTGATAAAAAGGAAATGTATTTTAGCAAGCAATTTTCATCATTCCTGTTATAGACATGTGAGAGGCTACCAGTCCAGCAGGCAACTTGAACAGGAGGAACTTTCAGCAAGAATTATTCAACGGTATGCATTTGCTCATCTAAAATAACATATTTTCTTTAAGCTTTATTTGAATTAGCATTCAGAGTGAATAAACCAAATAATTCAATAATTTAAACCACCAGAGGCTACCGCAAGTACAACACAACAAAAACAGAAAGGAATGATCCTCAAAGGTTCGCAGACATTGCTGAAGAAGAAGGAGATGATAGTAGTGATGCGGAGGAAAATAAAAAAGATGAAAGGAGAAAATCTGAGTATAGGAAGCCGTGGAAAGAATCAACAGCTGTTGCTCCAGTTCTAGACAATAACATCAAAATTGGTGAGATTAATAGTTACATTTATCATTTTGTGCACTAAAATAGATAGAGGGTCAGTCTGCAGGGGAAGGATCAGCTTTGAGGGTAAAGAAAAAAGAGTCTCCTTTCTAGTTAGAAGTTGGTCCACAATTTGCAGGAGTTTATTGATGTCATTTCCATGATATCCCATAAATTGGTGGAAGCTAGGCCACCACATTATAAGTTCAGTGCCCTTACCACTTAGCCATTGTACATGTAACCATTGTACATGTATATATCCTATGTACAGAAGTTAGGGTCCTGCAATTTATGAAATAATTGTTGTAAAATTGAAATTATTGGAGGAGGGGGGTGCAGCCAAGAGTTCATAAAGTTCCTTCATAACTTTTGTATCACACTTAGGACCAGTGAGAAATAACTAGCTCATCTTCACTATAACTTCATACAAAATATCATTCCATTTCCACAGGAGAAAAGACAAAAGAGAACTTTAACATGTACCAGGAAGACATCACAGATTTGAAGTGGAAAACAGAACAACAGGTAACTTAATTAAGTGGCATCCCCATGATCTATCAGGGTCTTTGAAAAAAGGACTTGGCAAAGTAGGACTGGAACTGTCCTATATACCTACCTACTCTTACACTTTGGCTTATGATCCTGGTGCCTGCGACCAATCTCACCCTAACTCAACCTATACTTGCTAATCTATTTCATGTTCCCACTAAAACATTAATTTTGTAGGTGTCAATGCATGCAGATACCAGCTGTCATCAATATATATCAAGCACACTCATTTGTGACCCAAAGACATCTGAATGCTCACTGAAATATCAACTTATTATTTTAATCATTTTAAATGTATTTTATTCCTGCTGAATTAGTTGGAAATGACAACAATGGGAGATGGTTACATTCCTCCAAGAATGGTGGTAAGTGTTTACACCCTCTTATATGTATACACAGAAATGTAATATTTAATGAACATATTTGGAGTCTTGGAGAGTGAGGGTCTTAGGATTAAGTAGCTACATTTGGAGATGACAAAAAAATTAGTGTCATTAGCAACCACAATCCACAAAGTCTTGCAGAGTAAGACTTGGTATCCCAAGCTTTGTGGAAGTCAGGTTTTGCCCACCTATTGTTGTCTTCAATCATACCCTGTAAGGGATGGACCCTATTAGCACATGCCATTCATAAAAAAAGTTGGAGAGCTTCAATGAGTTAGAAGTGATACTTTACAAAAGGGAAATGAAAACGTGGGTTCTCTGCAAAAAGAAGAGACAGATTAAGAAGGCATGAATGGTTTAAGGAACAAGCCTTTGCTACTGATGCACAGTGCATCCGTAAGTTTATAGGACAATGAGCGTAAGTGGCCATCCATTCACGACCTGACTAATGCACTTAATGCTTGTGTCAGGAGTTGGGAATAAGGATAAATAGCAATTCCAAAGACTCTGGTTGGAGGGTTTCCATGCAGTTCACCAATTTCAGGCTCAATAAAAGAAAATATGAGAATATTTTGTTCAAATTTGATTATTATTGAAAAATAATAATTTACATCACCTAAATTTACATCATCTAAATTCTCAATCACGTCAAGCTTATTGCATCAAATGTTCCAAGATCTGATGTTCTAGAAAAGATAGTGAAAGAGGACATTCTCAAGTTAAGTTATGTGAGTATATGTTTATTATAAATACCTGTATATCATGTTTTGATTTACCCACTGTAATTTACTTATGGTTAAAGTTCTTTATTTAACAATTATTTGTTGAAGGCATGGTGATTATTGTCAAATAATCCCCGAGACGAAGTCAAGGGGGTTATTCAACAATATTCACCAAACCATCAGGTGAATAATTGTTTTAGTATAATTTCAGAGCTGAACAACAGAGAAATTTCTAAAATCATAAAAAAACATTTATTAACATTTTATTTTAACATTTTATATAAACCGCGAAGAGCAGTTTATATAGTGTCATACAAGGAACCACTCGACCAATCAGATTGCTGGTAACTCTTTGCTCAGCTCTGAAATTATACTAAACAGTGATAGTTGTTTTCCTAGTTTGGGCATGGATTCATATTCTTTGGAAAATGAAGTTCCTTAATATTCAAGGTCTAGAATTAGCTCAGGAAACCTGAGGGTAAATTCAATTCAAACTGGTTATTAAGTTTCACTGCTGTCTGCTTGCTTTATGTTAATTCACTTTTCACCCCTCACTCTGCCCTGAAGTTAAAATTAATACCCATGTGTATGGGACAGATGTGTGTTTATCAATACTTTTATTAATATTTTTGCCATTAAAATCATAAAGTCCATTTTTAAAATTATCATTGTAATAACCATTACAATGTATACATTGTATTACATTACAATGTAATACATGTATTTTGTTTTGGATTAGGTTTCAATTTCTTTCTGTTTTGATTTTTAAATAACAAATTGAAATGTAATTGATCCTTTGAACTACCCATATCTGATCAGTGAGTTTCCGCTCTACATGTAGTTACCTCATACATTAATTTCTCTGTTAACTTAGGAGAGTTTAAAGGATAATTATACTTAACTTGTTTTTCTCCTTTTCTGTAACATAGGATTTTTCCACCACAACACTTCAAGTTTTATTGGGTAATAATTCTAATTTGTTACTATACCTATCTACTGTACTATAAGTCAATGTGATTAAGTTATCCATTTCCCTGCCTAATCATGTAAACTAAATGAGGCTGATCTGCTGGAAAGCCTACGCTGTGGATGTCAAAAATCATATTTTACATTTTGGGAATGAAATCACCTCCCCTGAAGGAGAAAAGAAACAATTAGTGAGTAATCAAAGTACATTTTCAATCAACAGATAAAATTATATCCATGCTTGAGGGATTCCAGAGCAGAAGTAAAGCTAGGTCAATAGCATTAGTTTGTCAGGTATACCCAGTTTTTTTTTTTTTTTTATTGAGTTGATATAATGATGTCTTGTTATTCTAGTGTCAAATTTACCACATGTCATTTGATTTATTGTCACCATTATCATCTTCTTGTGCACATATTGTGTCAAATAAGGAACCATATCTAATTATCAACAATGTCACAACAAATAGATCCTATTTCAAATGACCCATCCAGGTAATTCATCCACTCAGTATCTCAAAAGGTGTACAAAGACGACCTCTATTCTTTCAAACACTGATGTAGCTAGCATGCAGTATGACAAAAGATGAGCCACTTCAAGTATTGTTTTTTTCAGTTCACAGATTAAGAAGTTAATATTACTTCAAAGAAATTATTTTAATAAATTTCTCAGTTCAAATGAACAGGTCTAAATAATTGTTGCTGTTGTTTTTTTTTAATACCAGGGAGGACCTGGCTTCTTCAATCCAATTAAAGGGAAGATGTTTACAAAAGCTAAATATAAACAAGATGAGGAGATTAGCAGGTATCTCCACATAATTCTCCATAAGTAACAAGATAACTTATTTAATCAGCTAAATTATGTCAGTTCTTGAGTGGAAACTTAAGCTGTACCATAGATCTCAATCTGAAGATATTTTACTACTGAGTGTTGACACTGGAAGGAATTGCTACCCATAAAAGTATCTTAATGAAGCGTAAGAAATAGAAATCCATTACCAAGTAACTTTTTAAAACCCAATTCAGGGTTTCCATCAAGAAATTTAGGATCAGAAGAACATATGACATTATGGCTGCACATCTGAGTGAAAAATAGCTGAGGTAATTAACTGATACATCACTGGAGTATTCTGTGACCTTGGGAGGGATTTCTGCCACATCTGATGCCCAAATTAACACCCTGAAATTCTCACCCTGCTTTCACTTAATTTTTGCAGTTTTTGGAGCAGTCTTGGTACACATATGTCAAAACTTGGCCCAGATCAGACAAAGATCCACATCATTGGCAATAATGTGACTGGAAATAAGAAAGGAGAAAAATTATTGAAGTTTCTTTCCAAAGAAATGCAACCATCAAAAGTCAAGGTTGAGTCACCATTAGAATTTGGACAGGCAGGTGAGTGAAGGTCATTTACAGTTCACAGCTGGGTATTCTTTCCAAATAATCCATCAAGTAATCAATCTACACACTTTAACTGATTCTGCAAGCTAAAATATGGGCTGTTTAACATCACAAGGGTATCACCCAATCATCAAACCTTTCCAGTGTCAGATATGACAAGTTTTCTATGAAAATTGGAGGAGATTGTTTACCTCAACTACTGGTTTATACTTCTAATTATATTCTTTTACTTGAGACAATAACTGGTTTGTAAATGAACCATTACAGAGAAAAAGCTTTGATGGGAAGCCTTACTTGTTGAAAAACTGTCCTTGGCATTGAAGAAACAAATTAAAGATGTCTGTTAATACTTTTTGATTCATATAATGTCCAGGGACAAAGAACTGAGTTTCACTTCTAAAAGTACCCACAACTATACTGAAAAATACTATTGTGTAAGTCTACAGCATTTTTTATTGTATGAGTATTAAAGAATATGTTTTCCTTTTCCTATTCTTTCTCGTTTTAGGCAAAGAAATGCTGGCCCTTTATTTTGATCATGACAAGTACAGAATATGGAGAAGCAAAATGCATTCCAAAGTTTCATTTACCCTTTGAATTTTTAATCCCTACAATCACATATTTTCTCTCCTTTTGGTCTAATTTACTACTCAATTTGAGGTATCCAGTTCATACAACACAATATTTGTAATAAGTTATTATTTATGTATTTCACATTTAATTTTTCACTTCAAAAGTGAAAATATTACATTACATTACACATACATGTATTAGTTAAAGGTTGGTCAATTCAGTACATTTGGTTGATTCCATCAGTCATCATAAATTATTATATAACTTAAATGGCACCAAGTCCTACATCCTATGAGAGGGATGTCAATGTCCTGTTTCAATGTAATATTTTTGTACATCAAATTCTAAATAAAACTAACCCATTAACCCTTTAGTTCCCACGATCTGATCCATAATTCCCAGTTCTGGTTGTCTTGCTTTTCTTTGTGAACTGGCCCTGAGAATTTGGTCAAACATCAAGATAATACCTCACAGGTGATGAGGTTGTTGTTCCCTTTCCCTAACTAACTCATTTCAATTGTAAGGAGAAGATAGGGGACTTTAAGTAAAATCCCCAATTAAAAGTCATATATATTTAACAATAATATTATTCGCCTCGGATTCGGTGAATATCGTCGAATAATCCCCGAGACGAAGTCAAGGGGATTATTCAACAATATTCACCGAACCCGAGGTGAATAATTGTTTTAGTATAATTTCAGAGCTGAACAACAGAGAAATTTCTAAAATCATAACATTTTAGTAACATATTTTATTAACATTTTATTTTAACATTTTATATAAACCGCATGGAGCGGTTTATATAGCATCATATAGGGAACCGCTCGACCAATCAGATTGCTGGAAACTCTGCTCAGCTCTGAAATTATACTACATAAAAAAAATTATATATATATATATGTTACCTCTAAATTTTCCTTTTAGTGCTTTACCTAAAGAAAAAAGGTTGAAGGTGAACAAAAAGAGATGTACACACAAGTAACTTGAGCACTAGCATTCAACTGTACACAGTTTCAAATTTAGTACTTAACCCTTTGACCCTTCTGGGACTCAACACTTGTGGCTGGTGACTTAGATGTTACAACAATTTCAGTTTGTTTACTAGCCAAACTGGCTAGTGGAAATGGAAAACCACTAGCCAAAACCGAATTTCTACTAGTCTGCATATAGAGATTGATATAAGCACTTTTCCATGTTAAGTTTATTATTCATACAGTGTAATAAAAATGAAAACAGCACTGCATCATGTAATATTTGAACCCTACAATGGAATTAGGGACTCCTCAATTTACTGTATCAGTCCATGCAAGGCTATATCTATAAATATGAGCAAACATAAATGCTACTTATATGTGCAAACTTGCATACATGTTACATATATGTTTTCATCCTTGCCAATTTTCATATATGACGCATATATGCAGACATATGTGACATATATCTAGAAATGACTGTAGCATTTTAACTATATGTCACATATGCACATATATGTGACATAATTATATGTGCAACGATTGAACCTATGTCACATATATGTCACACATAATGTAGATTTGGTAAGATTTGGTAACGATTGAACCTATGTCACATATATGTCACACATAATGTAGATTTGGTAAGGGTGTCACTAGTTGGCTTCTGTTAGTGTCAAGCCCTGACTCTCAGAATGACAAGCATCTAATTTCGCCTCACAATATCACCATTGAATCATACATATAAGTCACAAGAACAAAGGACATAATCGCCAACTATAGAGGCTCTTGTTCCTTAAACAAATTCTTCTTGTAAGCTGATGTGAAGGTGTGAAGGGTTGAGCTAAACTCAACATTTTCAAAGATCACCTTCCGCCTTCAATTGGAAGAAAAGCAGAGTTATGTGACTACTGCTCCACTGTAAGCAATTTGAAAGGACTAAAATATACAAGTATATATTAAATATAGAATAATAATTTTGTTTTGCAAGAATCTGACAGGCACTCATACCATTAAATTTTATTAAAGTTGTGCGGAAACACAGAGACTGCTGAGCATAATTCTTTGTTGGGTCATTTCAGTCCTGGGGCTTTTTGTAAGCCTCAATTATAAGGCATATATATAGGAGTTTTGAGTTAAAAAGTATTTTTTTTAAAGATAGATACTGTATGGTTTTTAGTAAGTGATATAGGGTTACTTGGAAAAATCTACTTCCAGTGACTCAAGACATTCAATGTTTAATTTTTATGTGCAAATGATAAGCAACTTCTTTAATTATAAGTAAAAATTTAAGGTCCCTTCTACTTGGCATTTTCATACATTCATTTAAACAGAAAAAATGGGGGGAAATTAAGGCACCCTAATACCTACATTGCATTTAAAGTAATTAATTTCCAAAGAAATATCATATTTTCTTTCCCTTAACTAATATTTTGTAATTATTTAAGAAGAAATCCTTCTCTAAAGGGATCATCTTTTTCCACTGTGAATGTGCATTTCCCAGTGTAATATGCATTGCCTGCAACTTCTACATGAACTGCATCAAAGTCTCCAACCTTGGTTTCCTTCACAGCCTGACCAGTGAATGTTGAACCAACCAGACCCTGCTCAAAGACACGCATCTGATGCAAGCCAATCTGTTTGCGTGCATACTGTACTGCAATGCGGGCTGTCACCCCTGATCCTGTCGGACTCCTATCCACCTACAAAATAAAAAGTTTTGCAAGTTCAGTACTCCATTTTATGAAACAATATTTATTAATCAACAATTATGTTTAGTATTGAGGATTATTCAACAATGTTCACTGAGCCTATGGCAAATAATTGTTATAGTATATGCTCAGGTGCTTTTGAATTCTGTTGTAAATTCTGTAAATAAAGCATTGCCTACATTTGTTACAATTCTGGTGATTACTCATATCAAAATAAGCAAGGAGTTTTAGCAGGTTTAATCAATTAAATCAGCAAAACCTTCATTTCTTTATTTTGGAAAGTGTTCCACCAAACTCAGTTAAATCTTTTGAGCTCTTCACCACTGAATTTTCCTCTATCATGTTTATCACTTCTTTAGTAACATTTATGACAAAATGCAAGGCAGTCATTTTGAAATTTAGTGCCTCTGTGATAATCACCTTGTGTGAGGTGATTACAGTGAGATATGATGCAATGCTTAACCAATCAGAGTGCACAATCACATAGGTTTGTCTCAATTAGGTATCGCGTCTTTTTTAATTGCAGTACTGTAATGCTGAATATTTGTTTCACAGAAACAGCAACAACAGTTTTATCTGTATTCAGATAACAGTTTACATGATTTCTTATATCCAAGAGGCATCAGCAAAAAACAAATACATTAGACTCACTATGAAATAATTGATTGGTTAAGAGCCCTCAGTCATTATACAATAGCATGAGAAGCTAACATGATTCAAGCAAAACCTGCTGTGGAAATAACAATTATTGCATTGTCAAAATCAAAGTCCGCCTATTAAGTTTCCAAGCCCCTTGTCCATGAAGTGTTCTCAAATTTTGCTAACTCAGGGAGAAGTGTCTTCTTTAGCAGGTAGTGTAAAGATTGTATAATAAAACAATTATTGAATTTAGCTTTTTGCTTGATATCATGTTCCACCTCATTCAAATATTGCTTACTTCCTGCTTTTGAGGTTATTTGTTCAATATGGAACTGGTGCACCTCTTATGAACCAGTCCAAAATTCCCCCCCCTCCTCTCCACCCTTCAAAGCAGCTGATAGTCAACCTTCCCACAACACTCGCATTAGATGTGTAGATGAAAGGGAAAAAAAACACAGGTAAGCCACAATCGTATCTTGCTACTTGATTTAAATTTTATCAAAACCACTGTAATATCACTTCAAAACCAGGTAAAATTTCTCTGAAGATCCCCTTTTTACGACAAAATGAAGATTTAAACCTAACAGAGCTATTTCATCCCCTCCAAACGTGCATGATTAATTGATAATTCACCATGTAGTTTTGCTTTGTCAAATTTTCACAGAAATGAGACAAATTTCAAAAGATTTGATGTTTAATTCGGTGAAGCTATAAACTGCTTGATTGCTGAGACTTGACTGGCTGAAAAAGGTAACGAATTTCCTCCCAAGCAATTATCCAAATATATTGTGGTTTAAAATCATCACCTGCCCACAAAAAGAATACATTATGCAGTTCACTTAGTGATCTGGGAGTAACTTGCCACATGTAAATGAACCCTCAAATGGTTTTCACTAACGATGAGAATCCAAATTTTAAAACCGTAACACCTGCCCTCAGAAGAAGCCACCAGAGGCGATACAGATTTCGTTTGACAGCTTAAGTACTCGAATATATCGAGCAAAGCAGAAAAATGATTCACTTTGACAACCAGGATTCTATTAGAAAAGTGAAACTATGTACTGCACTACACATACATGAGTGCCACAGATTTTCAAAGCGAAGCTCAATAACACAAAGTACAGAAATTAATTTATAATTTATAGTATGATCACAAGTGTACTTTTTTGAAACCAATCTTATTTGCATGATGACTCTGAGCATTTGCTATTGCAGAAACAATAAATCTCGCTGCAGTCTTTCCTTGTATTTTCTTGCTTAAATATCCAAAATATATTTCGAGCGCGCGCGGGAAATCCATTACAGAGTAAGGGAACGTGGGTATATAACTTCCTAAAGCTGAGAAAGCGCAAACAAATGGAGCAACAATTAATAATGCCAACCTAAAATCATCTTCGATCTTTGGTCAGATACCAAATGACAACAAAATAGACATTTCCAAGTTCCCTAACCGATTGCCACAACACTGTCTCCATCGAAAAAAATACGAAGTAAGAATAAAAATATTGGAAATATTCTCACCTCACTGTCTGCAAAGACACAAACATTCGCTGTTGCCTCTTGTAAGTCGCTATTAAACATATCTTTCCCATCGGTAACGATAGTACCATAAAGAAAAGCTAGTTCCTCACTGTCTGGGTGATGCAGCCTTATTTGACTTTTCCCCGCGTTGGTAATCGCAATAGCAGCTTCCACGATATCGGCGAGTCGGGACGAACGCACGTCGACACCCAAACGATGCGCGGGAACTATGGCGTAGAACGCTCCGCCAAATCCTATATCAACTTTTACCTGGCCAAATTTCTCCGTGTTTACCTCCACATCGAGCCCAAACGCAAAAGCTGGAACAGAAACGAAACGCACACGGCCCGATTTGCCTTCTTCTATATCGACCAGGGCTTTCACCACGCCGCAAGGACACTCGATGAAGACAGGTACTTCACCCACACTGGAGCGCGACACGTCCGTGCTGAGAAGGCCCGAGTCGACAGCGTAGCGGCCGAGTGCTATGACAGCGTGGCCACACATGGTGCTGTACCCTTCATTATGCATGAAAATCACCCCCAAATCGGCCATTTCGCTGTGTGGTTGGACGACCACAGCACCGACCCTGCTCAAAGACACGCATCTGATGCAAGCCAATCTGTTTGCGTGCATACTGTACTGCAATGCGGGCTGTCACCCCTGATCCTGTCGGACTCCTATCCACCTACAAAATAAAAAGTTTTGCAAGTTCAGTACTCCATTTTATGAAACAATATTTATTAATCAACAATTATTTTTAGTATTGGGGATTATTCAACAATGTTCACTGAGCCTATGGCAAATAATTGTTATGGTATGCTCAGGTGCTTTTGAATTCTGTTGTAAATTCTGTAAATAAAGCATTGCCTACATTTGTTACAATTCTGGTGATTACTCATATCAAAATAAGCAAGGAGTTTTAGCAGGTTTAATCAATTAAATCAGCAAAACCTTCATTTCTTTATTTTGGAAAGTGTTCCACCAAACTCAGTTAAATCTTTTGAGCTCTTCACCACTGAATTTTCCTCTATCATGTTTATCACTTCTTTAGTAACATTTATGACAAAATGCAAGGCAGTCATTTTGAACTTTAGTGCCTCTGTAATAATCACCTTGTGTGAGGTGATTACAGTGAGATATGATGCAATGCTTAACCAATCAGAGTGCACAATCACATAGGTTTGTCTCNATCAATAAGTTGGGCGCGGTGGTAACCCGCTTGAACAACAGAAACAGGGTAACCATGTTTATCGAAAAACTGGCACATTGACTCTGATTTGTGGTGGAAATCAGAGTCATCACTACATAAATGGTGAAGTCTTAGAAACAGAGAAAAAGGAATGGAATTCTTAACGTGAATTGGATGCGAAGACGAATATAACAAGTAATTATGCGAGTCTTTAGGTTTGTAATACACACTAGTGCATAAACCGTTGCCTTCAATTGAAACTTTGATGTCCAAAAAGGATAACGACTGGTCAGAAATTTTCCAGGTATTTTTCAGAGCAGGGTGAAAAGAATTGACTGCGGTTATGAATTGAGTCAGCTCCTCTCTGGTAGAGGAGGTAGCGCTAATAAAGTCGTTGATGTAGCAACCATAGAGTTCAGGTTTGGAGCCATTATATTGGCTGAAAAATTGGTGTTCGACAAAACCTACAAAAAGATTGGCATAGCTAGGCCGGGGCTCGAACCCTCGACCTCCCGCACAACAGTCCAGCGCTCTATCCATTGAGCTATCTGGGAGGCGGTTGGTTATTCCAGGCAGCCAGTACTCTAACTTATACTTTTGAACATTCTCTTTGTTGTAACTTTTTTTTAGCAAGAGTGAGTACAAATAAAGATTGTTGTTGTTGTAGTGATAGAGACACAGTTAATGAATAACTAACGGATGCTACGTATTATACTGCCATTGGACGGTATCCAATACCTCACATTTCACGGTAACCTTGTCATGTAATTACCCACCCTTGATGAGACGCGGCGTCATACAGAGGTAGGGTCATTTGAAACAGATAATGTGATTTTGTCTACTAAGTTAAAAATATAAGTTTGCCACCGTGAAAGAGTTTCTAAGCTGTCTTTTCGAGCGTTCGCTTCTTGTTTCGCTCTGACGAAGGGCTAACGCCCAGTGGCCAATTTAGACAATTTACATCATGGACTCAGTTGACAAAATCACATTGTTTTGTCATACTCCCCCATCGACTACGGCAGCACCACAATTTTTCAAGAAACTTACCTCTTAATATATTTAGAAATTCGAGAGAAGTGGGGAAATAAACATGAAATATCTACGTTGGTTTATTTGTTTGTTCTTGTTTGTTTCATTATTCTATCTTTATTCGGCTAAAAGATCCCAATCTTTGCGCAAATTTCCGACTACTTGCCCTTATTTTTACAGCTTACTACGGTGTCGTAAAATATTGATGGAGACCTGTTACAGTCAACATGCACCAGACGAGAGAGAGTCAGTTAAATTTGATACACTTGATGCTGAACATTGAAATTCTAAATCTATCAAATAAGCGGGGATAACAATTAATTATTCCGTCAAAGTGCCCTCAAAACTTGTGGGAACTTTAAACGAGTTCTTGATGCTAAAAATATTTTCCTTACTTTGTCAGTATACAGAGAAATTCGAGTTTTCGGTTCAAGTCCAATGTTAAGAATCTTTAAATAGTCGTACTTCCGATAGAGGTCAAAGGAAAGTTTAGCTAGAAATTCTAACGGCCACAAACGAACATTGCCATACCAGTCGTCAACAGTCCATCCCATTCGCTCCTGTGCGAAGCTTGGATAATTGTAAAAATATAGCGGGATCAACTCCGGGTAATCAGCGTTTCTCAAATGATGATCTACACACAAAGTAAATCCAAATTGCAGTTGTGAACAAATATTTTGTAAATACCAAAGTGGGATGCTGTCTTCATACCGCTCAATAAGTTGTTTAGATTTTCTGTCATCCAGGAAAAATGGCCGATAAACATAGAAGATCATCTTGAAACATGCAAAGTGCTGAAATACTTCCTTATACCACATCATCATTAAGTGATAAAGACCTAAGTTTAAATTATGGTACTTGATTCCGAGATGATGCCGCCCTCGCAAGAATTCTATTGAATTAATAATGTGTCTGCTATATTCTGAAAAGGAATGATGGAATGTCTTAGATTCTTTCTGACAAATTGTGAAATCCTTTAAAGCAAGTGTCACAACGTTCTCAAGCCAACCCTGGTGATTAAGCAGGCGTAATTGGCTTAACAGTTCTTTGGAGATGTTTACTGTTAAAAAGGGTAAACCAATCTCATTGATGACTGGGATTATTTCTGATTTGGGTGTGCAGCGCATTGACAGAGCTGTGCAATTCTTGTAAGTAGAAAAGAGTCGAATGACAAAATTGCGAACGTCAGGCCTAGGATTAAGTTTGAAACCAGTTTGAATCCAACCATACAATCGGTTGTAGATCAAATTTAACTCAGCATCTCTTTGTGGATATTGTGTTTGACCTCCCAGCTTCTCAATGAACTGTACAACTTCAGCCCAAGGGTTGTAAAGGTCAGTTTCGACCACCTTACTACTGTAAAGTTTGGCCAAGTACAATGGAGTGATTCCATCCTTGTTTGGACAATCAACATTCAACCTATGAAGCTCACCATCCCTGAAGATCTCCTTGATAAATTTTACTAGCCCGCGAGAGGCTGCCAAATGATACAAAGTCAGTTCAGATTTGCTGGAGTCACACACAATTTGGAAGTCACTTTTCATTTTATGACGAAGTAGTTCTAGAGCTACGTCAGAAGCTTCATTCATTTTTAATTGCTCAGTTTTAGTCCTCATTATAGGCCACAAATTACTTCCTCCATGAAGAATGGCCAGTGTGAGGGCGTCATGCCCCTCTGGGCTTCGTAAGGACACATCTGCACCATGCCTTATAAGGTTACGTACAGCAACTATGTTGGCACCCTGAGAAGCTCTGTGTAACGGTGTAAATCCTTCGGCATCTAAGCAAGAATCGATGACTTTGTACTTCAAACGATGACTTTCAATAGCTTTTTCTAAAGGACTGTTTTTTGAACACGTTCGATCATCGCACGAGATTTGTTGAAAGAAGTTGTAATCCTCATCCTTTGGAGAGAAATAACACAACAAATGAAATAAAGATGTGTTAAATGGCTTTCCGCACTTAATCTTCATTGAACCTTTGAAGAAGATCGCATCTGCCAATAGCCAATCACCACCATTGTGAAGAAAAGCCACAAGAGGAGTTCGTCCTAAACTATCCTTACAGTTCATGTTGGCTCCCTTCAAAAGTAGCATCTGTGCAATATATGGCTGGTTATTCAGGACAGCGCGATGTAATAAGCTTTCACCGGAGTTATTGCACTTTGAAAATGAAACACCGGACGATAGAAGAAGATGTACGACCAAATCATGATCCTGCAAATACCCACCCAGCCCCTGAAAGTTCTCCACATGAAGGATTACGCGCGAATGCTCAGGTAATACCCTAGCCTTTTCGACTGCCACTTGTAATGGTGTTCTCCCCAACCTGTCGTGCATTTCAAGCTTCGCACCTCTTTGCACAAGAACATTAACTGCATCAGCCAAACCATTTTCAGCTGCTATGTGTAATGCTGTTCGACCTAGGTCGTCAGCAGCATTCATATCAGCACCATATAAGATCAAATAAAGCAAAACATCTAACCATCGATAAAGGTTTGTGTTTTTCAAGTAGTCTCCCTCCCTATAAAAACTAGCAAGATGGCCTCTACGGTCAACCGTTAAAAGATGAAGTGAGCCTCTGTTAGTGGTCGAATTCACGAGAACTTGTCGATCAAGTTGATTTGAAGTTATGTTTTTTATGGCATAATGCAAAGGTGTAAGCCCGCTATCATCGATTTCATTGATATTTGCTCCATGATAAATTAAATGGTCGATTGCCTGAACAGCACCACATGCTGCAGCACTGTGAATGGGTGTCGATCCGTTAAACGATCTGCTAGTAATGTCGGCACCGAGTTTCCAAAGAATATATATGATATTCCAGTGATCGTGACAAGCAGCCACATGAAGTGGCGTTGTACCAGAGCAGTCCTTAACTCCCAAACCTGCCTTCTTTTTCAAAAGAGTAAAAGTAACGTCCAAATATCCATAGCGCGCAGCCAGATGGAGAGGGGAATATCCGCAATGGCAAACATCTTCGTAGTATTCTTTGGACTCTTCATAGCTCAGCACCAAGCTACTGCTTGTTTCAGTTTGCAGCTCGATATCCTGCCAACGATCACACGTCGCATGTATCTTTGCTTCATCTTTCGAGAGCAGAAATTCGACCAGACCTGTATTATTTCTTCGCACGGCCTCGTGTACTGGAGTCCTACCTGAGTAATCACGACAAGCTAACGCCCATTTTTCTCTTGAGACGAGCTCCTCGATTATTGCTTTATGACCTAAGGAGACCGCTGCGTGGAGCGCAGTATCACAGAAAATTAGATGTTTGTCGTTAAACAGTTCGCCAAATTGAATATCATTGGTGATGTTATCACGTATAATACATTCATCGTCTATGAGGAGGACTCCACTAGCTGATTTATACCTTGATTCGCAGTGTTTCTTGATTTGAAATGAATGTTTCTTTAACAAAACTTGGCTTTGATAACGGTGTTTAGTCTTAAGCCAGTAGAGGGATCCATCGCATCTCATACATTTATCCTTGACACCGATTTTCAAAAGGTATTTTACAACGTCTAGCCTGTTGTTTATAACAGCAAGTTGTAAAGCAGTTTGATCCGCAACTCCGCCGGATTCGTAAAGAGTTTTAACAACGTCTACATGTCCATTCTCAGCGGCAACCTGTAGTGCTGTTAAATGAACATCGCTTTCCATCGAAATGAATGCCCCGTTGTCAAGGAGGAACTTAACAACCTCCAAGTGACCTCCATGAGAAGCACTGTACAACATGGTGGCCCCCCAAAATTTTGATTTAATTTCATAAAAAGGAATATGAGAATAAACGTCGTGTGTCTTAGACGTGTCTTTACTATTAAGCGTGTACCTGGTCGTTACTGACTTTGTTTTACGATTTATTCTAGCTCCCTTCCTCACCAGTAGAGCAAGGTTGTCAACAAGTCCATGCTCAGCCGCCAGAAATGCAGGTGTCATTCCACGCTTATCAGCACAGTCTATGCAACTGAAATGGCGTAGCAATAGTTCTAATACGTCTGTGCTATTGATCGTAGCAGCATGGTGCAGTAATGTCCTACTATTTCCAGGATCTGATGAGTTGACAACTTGCGAAGGAAAATTGAGAAATTCCTTAACATATGCCTCCCTCCAACCGCCATAGGCAATGTGTTGCGCTAAAGTAAGAATATGTTTTGACATCGCAGATTTACCTCCATCACTAATAAGCCGGAGATAGTAATCACAAAAAACTTCGTGACCTTTCTTTTTGCTGACATAGAATGATGGGTCGTTTTTGTTGCTGTTGCTTGTAAGCCACTCGGTTAGAGACAAGTGATACAGCGTCAATGTGTTATTCTTTCCATATCGAACAAAATGCCCGAGTTCTTTCATGCGATCTCGAAAGTCGTAATCTTCTTCCAGGTGTTTTTCATTCATTTTGAGTACGTCAAAAATTTCACGCTGCGTCATTGGATGAAACGTTGACACTAGTAATTCTAACACCCGACGCACAGGTTCAAATTGCTCTCTTGTATCGTATAATCTTTGGAAATAGCTGTGATATAATTCCCCTAATGTTTCAGGCAGTGCATAAAGATCTTTTCTTTTGACTCTTGTGGTCTCCCAGTGATGGATCATCTCTTTGACGAACAGGAAATTTCCCTGACTTTTCCGCAACAAGGCAGCGATCAATTTCGCAGTGTTTTCTACGCTGCTATCACCGAACCAGGTCTTAACTCTGTGAAGTAGTGGACCATCTCGATAAAGTATTGTAGTCAAAAACAGTTCGATGTCTTCGATGTTTCGAGAGTCCTCAGGGTTGATGCTTAGCTTTGCGATGCTGTCTGAATTCAAGGACACACTCGATTCATTACGGGATGTCATTACAAGCTTCAGCCAGGATGGAAACCGAGGAAGCTTGTTGTTGAGCAAATAGACAATGCTGTGACTTGTTTCTGTCTGTGTAAGACATTCATCCAGTGCATCTATGACGATATACCAATTTTCCTTAGGCACATTTGTCAGGCTTTTTAAAGGTGATAAAACTGCTTGTTCGAAGCACCCTACAGGATCTTGAATAGTTACACAGTCAGTATTCAGCGATCGCAGAATATAGGTGCTGTTCGAGACAATGTAACCATATTCTGGGATTCTCCGAGCTATCATTTCTGCCAAATTACGAACAAATTTGCCGGCAATTTGTGTATTTTTGTCGGAATGTTTGCAGAGATGGTATCCCAATATATGTTCATGGATGGTGCGACTTGATGAACGGGAACAAACCAATTGGGCAGATAATGCAGACTTACCAGCTCCTGGATCTCCGACGATCATGACGCCAGAGACAGTATTTGGGGGATGGAAGGCATTCTCAATCTCATTGTATAACCACTGACGACCGATGAAGTTTTCACGAGCCACAGCTAAGTAGTCGGTCAAGTTGAACTCCATGGTGTCGAATGGAACACTGACCTCTTCCGCTGGACATCCTTCAACATAAAAAAATGAGCATTCTTTTCATTTGGCCAAGTGATATTTCGTGGTATTTTGGTACACATTAGTCACTTGTTGCCTACGAACTGTTAATATTTTCTACTGGAGGAGGTAACTCTTAGATAACTAACAGCGACTGAGTTTTCATACCAACAAAGCTAGAAAAAGATAGTTCTGTCATAATAACTCACCATCCTCATATGACTTGTCATCCAAAATGCCAACGAGACAAAAAACGACCAAGAACTTCAATAAAGTACACACTGGCTTTTGTCTTACAGCTGTAGAACTTCTGACCAGGCAACGTCCAAAGGCAAGCAGACGGTAAGCGACGAGGCGTGGCATGGAAATGGCACCTTTAGTTTTTTTCTCCAAGTTTTCTTGGGCGTTTTGAAGCTTTCGAAGTTGACCCTCCACACGATTACGATGTTTTCGGTCTTTTTTTGATTCCTTTTTAAACATTTTCAATTCATTCTTAAGGCCGGTTATGTCAATTTGAATCACTTGTTTAAAATGGCTCAAAACCTCTGCTCTGAAAATGTGCACCTCTTTTGTATTTTTCAGAGTTAAAATTTCTTGCAAGGCATTCTGGGCATCAACATCACTCGCCAGGGCTGGATCTTTGAGTAGTTTCTCAATTGTGTTAAAAGCATCCTTCTTTTCCACAACGGTCAACTCCAACTTCAGTACATGAGCCCATTTTGTGTTTCGAATGTCACGAACATCTTTTATTAGTGGGCGCTGAACGGGGAAATGATTGCACCAGAACATTAAATTAAGAATATTTGTAATTTCCAAGTCGTCCACACTTTCTATAACGGTATGAATTCCGACATCCGGAAGGAAAAGTTTCACTATCTCCCAGGGACCAATATTTGGGTCCGACCACTTGCTGGAATCACTTTGCTTCCAGTTCAGCCTTCTGCCAAGGTGATAACCTTGAAGGACTTTCGCCCACTGACAGGCTCTCATGTCATGGTACTGGTTTGGTTTTCTTCCCGGAACATAAACACAGGTGCAGGCTCCAGCTGCAGTTGCTGCCTTTAAATTGTTATAGAAGACCTCAGTTTCTCGCTTTATAAACGGGCGAAGGCCTTGGCAGAGAAGCGTGGTCAACGCCCTTCCAAGAGAAAGCCAGTTTCCTTCTTCAGGCGATGTCAGTTGAACGAATTCTTTAGAGGTATATCCAGACATTGCTGTTTTTAAGAAAAGCATCGAATCGATTAATGTATAGAGGGAATTGATGTCACTAATACATAATTCGTAACTAGCTCCTGTTTAACTGTTTACATGTTTCTAGGATTGAGAACCTGAATTTCGCACTGAAATGATTGCCTACTGGGTACAAAAACTTACTTTATTAAGTGGTACTCACACAACAAATAATGAGCTTTGCTGCCGGAAATTGTTTTTACAAACTAGGCCAAGAGCGCATTGAGTGCGTTTATGGCTAATCGTAATTGCAATTGAAGATTATAGTTAACGTTTTAGCATGATCGAGGTGTTTCAAAGTCTATGGGTCACACAGCCGAGAACAATTGAGTTATCGTTTTGAGAATATTAACCGTAAAAGAAATTAAAATGGGACTCAAATCGACTTTTCGCCTTCTTTGCAGGTAGTGCGTAAAACTCGACAAAAAGCAAGAGGGGATCATTCAGGGCAAAAATCTAAATAGCTTTTCCTCTCCCAAGGTTAACTGGCGCGCTGCTGAGAAGATATAAACAAAAACAAATTTTCTTGAAAGTTCCTTAATCACAAGCCTCTTTGAAGCCCTATGGTCGATATTCAATATCGTATTTCAAGGGTAATATTATTGCAAGCCAAACATGACAAAAGTGGGTCGAGTTCGAAGTTACCTATCAAGTTTCAGTGATCGATATCTGAGATTGGGAAATCACTACATGAAATTTACAAATCACTGCACGAGAATGAAAATTAAACTGTCATGCAAGATTTTAAATTAACCATCGAGAATGAAAAAACATTAATCGAGAAAAAGACTGATGTAGCAAGATACCGAGAAACAAAAATTTACTGTTCAGAATGAGTTGCGTTAAAAAAAGAAATCAGCATGCAAGATTATCGATTAGTTTTTCTGAGCCGGTGAGCCACAGATAGTCAGCGGAGTGTACTTCTCTCAAATGGCGGAGCAGCTGAGTGCAGAAGACTCTACAGAGTTTGTTGATTCTCTAAGGAGCACCATTTAAACGACTGCTTCCGTTTATCGCGCGTCTGATAATTTACGATTATAAATCTTTGCTAGGAGGCTTGAAGAACACGCAAGAATGCTTATTGCCATATCACGTACTGTCCCAAAATTCCTCACCAGAACTGTTTGGGGTGGTAGAATTGTCTTTAGCCGTGATATTAAGAAAGACGTTAGAAATATTGAAAGCATCAAGCTCTCGTCCAAAGGAGAAAATTCAGTTGGCATTCTGTGCAAGCTCAGGTGGAAGACCGGCGTACAAAGGAAATGATCGAACAACTGCGTGAGATTGGTATGAATGGAATTTTCATGGTATTAGAACAGAAAGCCACGAAACACCCTTGGCAATGTGGTACACCGGATTACTCACTGCTCTCAAGGAATCAATTGTCAACAACAGTGTTGTTGTGTTAGAGTCACACAGTCACCTAACAGATCACCAACTGCAGGAATTAAAAAAATAGGATTGGCCCTCTCTCTGATGATGGAAACAATGGAATTAACCACTTTCTGAACACTGTAAAGGTCGGCACACACGAGGGGACTAGTCCCTGCGACTAGTCCGTGCGACTAGTCCCGGCGACAAGTCTTTCGGTTTACACGAGGGGACCGGTAGCGGGGACTAGTCCCTTAAGGCGTTCACACGAGGGCACTCAATTGCACAAGTACATAGGAAAATTAAGAGGCAAAATATGTTTCTTAGTCTGGGGTGTTACACGAAAACAATTAAAATTTGGTAACTTTTCATTGTAGCACTATTAAACAACGCAAATGAACTACACTTATTCAGTCGGATTATTCATGCTTTTGCGTGTTCCGTTTTTGTTTTTGTTTTTTTATTTTTAACTGACACAGAGTCAAATAGGGTAAAAATTCCATCAAAACGGCTCCAAGACATCTGTATATGTTTACAAAACTAGAAATAGTTTTTTATTCTTCAGTTGTAGAAATCTAGAATTCAGGGAAAATTCATAGAAACTGCAATGTTTACAAATACCGGAAGTCACGCATCATACTGACCCGTGATTGGCTTATTTACCGTTTAGTCGCAGGGACTGGTCGCACAAACAGTTCACACGAAGGGACAAACATTTGTTTCATGCGACAAGTCCCTGCGACTGGTCGCACGAATTCAAACCAGTTTGAATTCGTGCGACCAGTCGCAGGGACCAAATTTTGGTCCCTGCGACCACAGAAATGTGTAGTTCACACGAAGGGACTAGTCGCATGAAACTGGTCGCTGGGACTAGTCGCAGGGACTAGTCCCCTCGTGTGTGCCGACCTTTTTCGAATATAAACCAAT